TTCAGTTGTTCTCTGCTGTTATTTATATGCATTGAATATAACATGAAATATCCATAAAATAGGTCACTTAGTTTACTCAATGATAGAGAAGGTAAATGGTAAATGGACTGTACTTATATAGCCCCTTTGTAGTCTTTTGACCACTCAATGTGCTGTACACTACATGCCACACTCACCCCATTCACACACATTCATACACCTTAAGTAAAAAGGATGGAACCATTTCAGTAGTGTATTACTACAGTGCCTTGTGCCTGCCGTAAAATCACTGCACAGCTTCTCATTGCTTACTGCTTAAAGGAAATGAAAACTTTTTAATTTTCTAATTAAGAGTGTGATAAGAAAATCAATATACTGCTGTCTGTACAGTAAAGTAGTAGCTGGTTAGCTTAGCTCACACACTAATGCAGAATCACAGAAAACGTAGAGATATTTTAGCTACATTTGCACAGCTGTTGTGTATTTTACCCACCTTTCATCCAACTATATCTGCCCTGTGTGGTTTTTTCTTCTTTTTTATGAGAATCAGTTCCCATTCTGGTCTAGACCTGCTCTATTTGAAAAGTGTCCTGAGATAACTTTTGTTATAGATTGGCGCTATACAAATACAATTGAATTGAATTTTGAGAATAGAATGTATTTATTAACCTGTAAATGCTCGACTGAGACCTTCCTTCCAACCATCATCAGGTTTTCCATCCTGAGCTGTTATATTTTATCTCCAGTGCTGGGCTGGTGGTGTTGATTTTATAGTCTGTCATCAGTCTGAACAATCCCCTTCACTTAGTGCACATTAGATTACAGAGTGCCTGTTTGCTCATGTGTGCTTGTGATGCACAAACAAACACTCTGAGCCTTTCGGTAAATTAGCAAAAAAAAAGTGCCTGTGTGAGCGATGTGCACTCATATATGAATATGCGCACGGTAAATGAGTCCATTAGCGCTGGCAATGGCTGCCTCTGTACTAAGCGAGCATGTGTATGTAATTTTACATTCAAGTGTCTCTTAATGATTTCCACTTGTGTGTATGTGTGGGTGTGTTGTTTTTGTGTGTGCTGTATGATGAATGGAGCGATTAAGTAAGTGTGATTTTGAGTGTGTGTACATTAGCCTGGGTGTGAGTTATTAGCCTCTGTCTGCATCTGCAGTGTGATAAATGTAAAGCCAGTGTTAACTTTTGTGTACACACTCCAGGAGTGTATCAGCACTGACTGTATACTGACCAAGACACAAAATGAGCTTTGTGTCTATATGTGTGTGTGTGTGTGTGATTAGAGCGATAGCGTGGTATATTTGATGGCCTGTGTGTGTCTATGCTGTATTATCTCTGGTGGGGCGGGTGCAGGGGGCCTTGGGGCGACTGTGTGGAGGAGATAAGGGTGACTCATCTGTGTTTAAATGTGTGTGTGCATGAGCATGTTTGTGCTTCGCAGACATGTATATCCATGTTTGGTGCATGCACATGCAAGCATTTGAACCAGAATGTTGATAAATGCTCATGTGGTTACATCCAGCCTCACCAGTAAACAGCCTCACTGGGGTTGATGGACAGATTTTTGTATGGATCGCAAAGATATTAGAAATCACAGTGGCAGTTCCCATCAACACCGAGCTGTCAGCGTCGTGAAAGACAGCGTTGCAGAAGACAAAACTGCTTCTTTCTCACCTGAGATTCAGTGGTGGTTTGAAGTTTGAAGTTTGAACTGCTACTGTAACTGCTACTCAGGCACAATAGTCTGAAAGCATATATCACAGCAAACCCAAGAGGCACATGCAACTTAAAGCAGCTCTTAAAGGACCAGTGTGTAGGATTTAGTGGCATCTAGTGGTGAAGTTGCAACTAACGGCACTGCTGCCGTCGATGGGAGAAACTAAAGTGGCCGCAAAATGTACAAAAAACGCAAAAAGGCCCTATCTAGGGCTTGTGTTTGGTTTGTCCATTCTGCTCTACTGTAGAAACATGGCTCCATTGAAAGCAACCCCCGTCTGTTGATACAAACAACTCATTCTAAGGTAACAGAAACACAACAATTGCCATATTCGGGTAATTATTCACTAATGAAAACAAACGAAAAATATTCTATTCTATTCCTGACGAGAGATCCTCCTAAATGTTACACACTGAACCTTTTAAATATCAATAATCAATTCAATATTGTGTAATTCATGTCACAATTATCGCAACAATATTATCACAATAATCATGAAAATATACTTTATGCTTTTTGTTAAGAAACACATATTTGATCACAGATAGGAACTTCATCACCCTGTTCTTTATTTTGAAATCTATACTATTTCCACACATCCTGTTTAATATAATATCGTATATTGTCCCATCCCTAGCATAGTGACAGATGTCACTTATAAAATTATCATCCGAGTCCGCAGCTACCTTTAGCTCCATGGACCCACAACTTTACTGTTACTGTACCGCACAGGGGTAGGATCACTCTATCTTTATAACTGATTGAAACTACTCACTAAAAAAGCTTAAGCTTCACCACACCACTTCTCAAGCACTGTGTGATAATGTCCATCTTTTACAATTTCAGTAGAGAAGAAGGAGAGTGCAGCATACCACTGACAACTTGCAGGGGTCGGTCTCTGCTTACATTTTGCCAAGAAAAGTTATGAAAGCCTTGTTTGAAAATGTGGTTGATAATGTAAATGGAGTGGATTTAACACCTTAAAATGCAGAAAGACTGATATAGTAAAAAGTCAACCTCGTTATAGTGTAGCACAGCGGCCGCCGGTCTGTTCAGTGCCAAGAATTACTTAAACAAAACAACACATTGAGCCCATGCCAGCGGGCTATATTATTATCTTCATTCGAACTAATTGCCAGGCCAAACAGCGACACATATGCACACACAGGCTGCAACAACCACTCATCATTAGGGACTTTAACTGTGGTGTGCCATCCCTGTTGTCATGACAACTAGACACTGAATTTTGGCTTGGGAACTGTCACAGAGAGAGATTTTTCAGAGGCATACAGGTTTAAAAGGTTTTAACGGTTTGTGCTTGTAGTGAATTGCGTGATCGGGATTGTCGGGGTGAGCTCTGCCGCGATAAGAAAGGCCTCGGGCATCGTTTATTCTTGGTGCATCTTACATGATCACCTTATTTGCATTGAATGATTCTTTTATTTCCTTTTACTTTTATGAGAGTGTCTGACATCTGCGATTATCTCACATTTTTATTAAACTCACGCACCCTCTGTAACACGCTATTGGGCGGGCAACACAGCACTTGAAGACTTGCACACAAACATCCCAGCGGTTTTGTCCTCACTCCATTTGCATTGCATATCCTCTGTAGATCTTTCTATCTTTAAGACCATTGGGTCTGTGTGTGAGGGAGAGTGTGCTTTGCAAGCATGTGTGTGTATGTTTGTGTGTGTGTGTGTGTGTGTGTGTGTGTGTGTGTGTGTGTGTGTGTGTGTGCCGTCAGCTAACAGGAATGCATGGGTACCGCCAAAGCTAAGATGGCTGCCAAGCGCTAAGATGGCTGCCAGGATTCCACAGAGCGACAGCACGAGAGAGAAAGAGAGGCAGAGACAGAATGAGTGTAAGAGGAATTGAGGGAGAAAGACATGAAGATGGACTCTGAGTCCGGCAGAATGAGTGTTGCGAGAAAAAAGAAACTCTATCCCTGTGTGCCTTTCCCTCTTCTTTCTGACCCAGAGTGATGAGGTGATCTTGTTTGTCTCTTTTTGTTTTCTTAGTTTTGGCAACGCACAGACAGGGTGAATAGTGCAGCAGCTTGCTGGCACGTCGTCCACTAATGCCACCCAAGATTAGGATGCTGATTTGGGCTGAGAAGATGTTGAGGTTGGGGGGCCTAGTTCTGGCTGCAAGGGGGCCACGTTCTGGCTAGGGAGACTTGGCCCAGGATGGCCTTAAAGCTTCAGTGCTGTGGGGTAATTGGCTTGAATGGTATATATGTTACAACCATAAAACTCCACAAGGCTGCATTACGCATCTGAAGAAGAATGGCAGCCAGCGTGCCAAACAAAACTAGCTGAAGCAGGCGACTCTCTGCCTGCCTGTCCCTATATAGATGTTAAGGTAAACACACACAGGAGATGCAATCCAAACAAAGCCTGGAACCCAAAAGTGTACGTTTTAAAGAACACCTCAAGTTACAAGTCAGTAAAGTAGTGTGTATGTTAGAGTCCCTGAAGAAAAGGTATAGAAAGAGAGAAAAGTGGTTTTATTAAGGTAAACTTATATTTTCACTATATCCTGAGATTGAAAGAAAGAAAGAGAGTTTATTGTTGAGTCTCATTCTGAGGGTGTCAAATATAGACGCTTTAGGACCCTGGGAATGAGACTCAAAAATGAACTATCTTCAGGACCCAAAGCATCTGTCTGTCCTTCTCAGCTCTGATTGGTTGTTTTCATTCAGGCCCGGTGGATTCTTGCAAATACCATTAGGAGCTCTAGGAGGAGCCAGAGGAACCTGATATTTTTACAGATTATCTGTCTCATGTTCTACTGTCAGGATATAGTGAAAGTTTCAGCAAATACTGTATAAGATTTTTTTTTTTTTTTATTTTTATAAAAGTTACCTATTGCAGCTTTAACTAAAATATTGTGTATGTGTGTGCATTTGAGAGGGTGGGAGTCCCTGAAAGAGAAGGGGGAAAAATTAAGCGAAAGAGACCAAGTATTGTTCTTTGATGCTTTTTCTAGTAGGTTTGAAGAACGATTATCCCACAGCCACAGACTGCAGACATAAGGATACGAACCTTCTGATTCACCATTTTATGACTTTCAACTGAGGTTCAACCTGAACGGAAATATGCTCCAATCTTTAATCTCAGTTCCACGTCTGTCTGTCTTTAGTGAAAAGAATAAAAGACGGCGCCTTCTTCCATCCAGTTTCTGACGAGTTTCCCTCTGATGCTATCCTACCCCTTCACCTTTGGGTAGTGTTCAGACATCTGTCCACCTGACTAACCATCTCTCTTTCTCTCTCCCTCTTTCTTTCAGAACAATCAGGACAATCAGACAACTCAAACCAGCAAGGAGACACAGACGTCAAGCCCCCACCAAATGGTAAGTTTGCAACTGTGTCCCATTCACACACATGCCCATAAAAATGTTTGACATACCTGTGCCTACATGCAATCAGACTCTAACACACATGCACATACTGTATCCGCACACTACCCCTACATACAGGCCTCTCTGTGTGCGAGTGTCCCGGCAGAGTTGGGTCTGAGTTTATTATGGTAAGGAGAGCTGATGGTACTGTAGCGTGGGGGTGGTGCTGGGATTGTGGCGGGCCACTCATAAATCACACTGACGTTATTGGAAGATGGGAACCACATGGCCGCTGCCGAGCTAAGCGCTGACCTCATGCGCTGTTCCTGCTGTGGTTAACCCCGGGCAGGGATGGAAGCGAAAGAGAGAGGGAGATTGTGAGTGGAAGAAAAGTGAAGGGGAGGTGTGGGAGCTGGGTGTTGAAAAGAAAGTGAGAGGTGAGGGGGTGAAGAGAGCAGGGAGGAGAAAAGGGATGGACAGATGGAGAGAGGGATGATTTGAAGGAGGGAGGAAGAGTGTGGATTTTAAGTTTACTTGACCCTAGGGTGTCCTCTATACTGTACACACACCCCATAGACCTGGGTGTTGTGGATGTGGACATTATAGAGCAGACTTTACTTGGAGAGGCTAAGAGAACTTCACAACAGCGTACACACAAAGTCAGCACAAACATGATCACTGTACACTTCCTTTTGTGAATGTCAATGTTGAGGCTGAGTTGTGTGTGTGCGTTTGTACTTCTACCTTTATGAAAAACAGCTTTGGAAGAGTTGGACAATTATTTTATTTATTTTTTGCCAACTACTCTGTAATTTATACATTTTTTTGCCGGTAAAAAAACGCCAGCTGTGGTTGCCGGAACCTTACAGTAATAAATACAGTATAACCTTTCTACTATAACGGTGGAAGGATATTAGTACTGTTGATTTTAAGGTTGAAGTTGGAGTTTTATTGCATATTTTACTGTATAATACATGTTTTTTCCTTCAAAAGAAACAAATTTGAAAATACCGTATGAATGCTGTATTAAAGACATTTTTGCCATAAGATATGAATGTGTGTCATGAGTATTTTACTGTTACATAAACTGTATTTAAACTATTTAGAGTTTACAGTCTTTTACATAGTTTGACAGTTTTTCACCGTAACATTTTTATTTTTTACAGTGCTCATTTTCTACAGACAAACAAGGAAAAATGACTTTAAAGTTGTTTTATTGTCCAACCAAAGGAATTGTAGGTAGAATATTTATTTTATATTTAACTATTGAGCTCAAGCCAGGCCTTTGACCCTGCCAAGGCAAAAGGCATTAACTTCCATTTGAACACTCATTTGGTTAACTGATCACTATATACAATCAGTATATGATGATAATGATAATATCCACATAACATTGAGTGATTATGGCACAATTAGGCGTATGATATAAAGAAATACAGTATAATGTAAATGATGTGCATTTGAAGGTCACAAAGGTGCATTACCAACTGGGTTGGGGTAATTAAACTGGTAGTTTTCTTAACAACATCTTGGAGTAGCTTTCTTGTAGTTCAACTACATTCATATTTGCATGCTGATTCAAGCAGTTAAATTACTTTTTGCAACCCACCTCCACCCCAGCTCATCCTTTTATGTTGTGTCTAATTAATCAATGTCATTTTCTGATTGCCATTGATGCTTGCTCTGTTCTGTACCCTGGGGGGGTCTCTGCTGCCGCTCTCCTTGTCTTAAACTTTTCCATGTATGCAAATGGAAGGGCAGGGAGGTCCCAGAACAGAGCCATACCGCCAAATATAACATTCTGCTTTGGAAATAAAAGTTTCTTTTGACAAAAGTGGTCCTGACTGAACAGAAGTTGAGGCGTTTTGCCTGTGCACAGCAGCGTAGATCTTCAGCATAGGTTTAATAATAATCTTGTAATTAATTTTAGGCTAGGCTAATGGTTCAGGTAAAAGTGATTTCTGATTTTTTGGCATCCTGAGGGTAGCAGAAATGAGTCATCAACAAAATGTTGACACTGTTATGGCATTTATTCATGCCTATTTACACAGCAATGTTAGCATTCATTTGGAGTCATGTTTCTGGGAAATAGAAGTCTAATATTCACTCTCCTTTTAGATATTTTTGGTCTCCATGCTCTCTTGAGAAGAACATCTGGCTCTTTAGCCGCTAAATACTTACACTACTATACACTGTGTTCATTAGCTAGTTGCTAACTTTGTCTCCAGTTTAGTACAGGGTAGGTATTTCACAGTGAGGGTTTTTGAAAACGCTCATGAGAGCGCTAAGAGTGAACCAAAACATCATGTGACCTATTGTGAATATAAAAAAGTGTTACAGCTGCTTTAATGTTAGGTGTGAGACCAGTCTTTAGGTTTAGGGCAACATTTAAGGTTATTAAGGGTTTAAAGGATAATCCCCCTTTATTACATCTCAGCTCTCCTTCTCATCCTTTTGACCACCATTCCCATCAGTAATAATGATGCTGTGCTCACTACGGCAGAAGAACGCAGCAGTGTAGCTGAAGTAAAGTCAGACAGGCCAAGAAACACGAGCAGTCAGGCGTTTGTATAGGTTTTAAACAAAATCTTCGATTAGCCAAACTTTTTTTGCTAGCTAAAATGAAGATGTAGCTCAAAGACTTTCATTGTAAACATGAACCTTTGCCCATCTTGCTTGCCGTAGTTGTAGGTTCACACTGTTTTCCTGTGAAAGGTGTGATTTTTAACATTTCAGCTGCACTCACGCTAGGTTTCACCTCCAAAAAAAGTGGTTTAGATTAAAATGTTGCTTTACAACCTGTCTGAACGATGGGGCGCTCATGTTTCTGGTCCCGCACATGGCAACTTTTTTGTTGTGCTGTCTATGTGTTTCCATATCTTAGCAGTTACTTTAGTGAGCAGTCATAACCGACAATGGCCAAAGATGTGAAATGAATACCCAAACCAGAATTTTCCTTTTAAGGTTTAGGTTACAGTATCAATGGGCCCATAGGAAGGTTCTCATAAATATAGAAGTACAATAATGTGTGTGTGTGTATATGTATGTGTGCATCACTGCTCAGACACCTGTCATTATGCATCATTATACCCATCCATATGTGGTTTGACATGCATATGCATGATATATACATAAATATCATCATACACAATGCATTATACATTACACAGCTGTCTATGTGGAGATTATACTCACTTGTTGGACCTGATTGGTTGTGTGTGTTGGACTGTCAACAGTCAAAAAAACAATGAACATGTCCAAACCAACAGGCCTGTTGTATCTTATAGAAAACACATGCTCCCACTGGATGACACCAGCAGGGTGTTAAGCTTTTCCATACATGTGTTTTTCAGCTCCCTCTGTGTGTGTCTGTGTGCACATGTCATTTTACGCATGTTTGGCATATGCAGTCTGTTCTCATACACTCCCCCCTCTCTGTCTCTCTCTCTCTCTACCCAGGCCACTTGAGTTTCCAGGACTGCTTTGTGACTTCAGGGGTGTGGAACGTAGCCGAGTTGGTCCGCGTGTCACAGAGTGAGTCACAGCTATAATTTCCTCCGTCAATCTCTGTCCCTGTCAGTCCTAGTACACTTCATACAGTGTTATAACACCTTACACACAGCAACATCCCTGATACACCAAGTAGCACAAGGATAAGACTGGTGTTTGTCTGTGTGTCCAAAGCTTGATATATCTTATTCCTCTGTGCTTTAGAGCTTGATCCAAAAACAAATTAATGAGCCATCAACACAAACACTGTGGTTTTTTTTACTTAGTTCCACATTCACTGTCCTGCTGCCATAAATACTCACTAGTTTGTATTAATCCACAGCTGAAAATGACTAAAATCCTTCATCCGGTTAAAAAAAAACAAAAACAAGATCTAAACAGTGGATGGTAAAAATGTGGCTTCAGACTGGATAAAAAGTCAATGTATGACTTCTAGCAGACAACCACAACGCTGACGCAGGCACAAAGGGGATTACCCTTCAGCATTACCTGAATAAATTGACAGATTTCTCTGAGTTTGAACATTGTTGGAAACATTTGGGATAATGGAAGTACACAGCTCAACTACATATAGAACATAGCGCTAGAGTTTATAGACATTTTAATGCGGAAATGTTACATATTATAGCTTTAACATGTATGAGTGAGGTGACTCCAAAAAAAAAGGACAGAGGCATTGTTCCAGTCTCAAACACATGGTCACAAACCATAATCAGGAGCAGTCTGGTGTCAGGAAAGAACAGGAAATAAGTACCAGAACACCAATCTGCTCCTGATGATGGCGCTATGAGAAAAGTCAGTTGCTCACCGGAGTTATTGCGATTTATCCTGATCCAGTCATGAATATGTGTCATGGCTATCTATCCAGCAGTTGTCGAGATTTTTCACTCAAAACATATGGTGGCACTAGAGAAGAAGTCAGGTGGTCACAAAAGTCATTAGGATGCATCATCTGCATGAATCCGTCCAGTAGATGTTGAGATATTTCACAAGGTAACTGAACAGTCTGATCTGCTAGTAGTGCTAGACAAAGAGTCCCCAAAGTCATTTGAATTCATCCTCTTGGGACCAGGACTATCTGTACAGTTGTGATGGCAATCCAACCAGTAGCTTATTTCAACCTGGTGGCAGACCAACCAACAGACTGACATTGCTGTTGTTAAAGCAAAATGAATCATAGAACACCAGCCTTATCCTTCCAGAAATAAAGTTAGCATTATTTTTACAGTATACGGCTGTACATTTTTCTGATGTGATTCTCCCCTTTATGATGTGTGTGTTTGTTTTTGTGTGCGTGTGCGTGTGTGCGTGCATTCCTCAGCCCCAGTGGCTACAGCGACCGGCCCCAACTTCTCCCTGGCTGACCTGGACAGCCCCGGTTACTACAACATCAACCAGGTGACCCTGGGACGGCGTTCCATCACCTCCACCCCATCCACCAGGTACACATGCACACACTCAAAAAGACACGCTCATAATGTCCTTTTTCTTCTGTACTAATATTCTTCATTTCTTAATTCTTTAACCTCTTAACGCTGCTGTATTCTGTATGCTTAGCTTACTCTGCTGTGGTCTTTCTTTCCCCTTTCTCCCCCTTTTTCCTTCGTCACCACTAATCCTTTCTCGTTCCCTCTCATTTTTCCCACCGATCTGTCCGTCACTCTGTCTGTGTTTGTGTCTTTTGTCTCTGTAACCCCCCTTGCTCCCTCTGTCGTCCTCTCTCACTCATCTCACGCTGCAGGACTGAAATGGAGCTTTATGCAAGTCTCCCACGGAGGTAGTTACACTCATTACAGAATATCTCCCTCGATACTAATGTAACACAGATCCCGCATCACACTTGCACAAAAACCACACATGCACGCTGTCACATAGATATGCACATGAGCGCACACATATTTAAACATTTTGGATCAGTGGTGAAACGCTGTACGTTCGCGACCCCCTTTATTTTATTGTTCACAGATGTATGAGTCTATAAGAATCTGCAAACACACGCACAAATGCGTTCCAGCATCACCGTCCACACTTTCCGGCGCTGGGTTTCTAGCGTGAGGCTGCTTTGGGCCAGTATGGATCCAGCATGCTGAATAAATTCTGGCCCCATATTCGTCTCGCTGTCTCCAGTTGTGTTGTGTTGTCCCCCCCGGCTAAAACATAATATGAAAACAAAACATTGGAGGAAGCCTTGACATTTAGAATTTTTATAACTCTTGATTTCATGCAGACACATGAAAGCGCTCACATTTGTCCTCAAATGTCCTGCAAATGATATGCGTGCATTCATTAGAGCCCCGAATACCCATTAGTAGCACAGGCTGACATGCAAGTTTAAACAAAAATAATTAGATTAATCTCAAAATAAAAAGAAATCCCTTCTTCAGGAGTTAAACAAACCGCCTCCTCTCTTCTTTTTCCCTCAGCTCCAACAAGCGCAAGTCCATTGACGACAGTGAGATGGAGAGCCCGGTGGATGATGTCTTCTACTCAGGCCGTTCCCCGGCGGCTGGCAGCAGCTCTCAGTCCAGCGGTTGGCCTAATGATGTGGATGCAGGTAGTCCCACTATAACCTGCCCATCTGATTCTCCTGGAGCTGGGCTGAGGTCCACATCAATTCAGAAGCAAACATTTTACAATTTTATAGATAAAATGAGTATAATACTTTGGTGAAGGCTGTAATAGAAGCAGCTTTAGACTCTGGCTTTACATTGAATTTTAAAGCTCCTGAAAACATATTTTGTTTCTCGCTAAAGTTAAAGGAATAGTTTTACATTTTGGGGAATTTGCTTTCTTGCTGAGAGTTGGATGAGAAGATTGATACCACTCTCGTGCTGTTTGTATGTTAAGTATGAAGCTACAGCCAGCAGCTTATTAGCTTAGCTTAGTATAAAGACTGGAAACTACTAGCCTCGCGTCAAAGTTAACACAATCCACCTACCAGCACCACTTAGGCTCATTAACTAACATGTCGTATCTTTTTTTCTGTTTGTTCAATCTGTATAAAAAGTGTTAAACAATATATTGTGGTTTCAGAGGGGGTGGGGCTATGACTATTTCTTGGCCAGGTACATTTACTTTCCGGAATCTTTCTGTTGTACTGATTCAGCAAACATCCTCTAACTTCAGAGGCACTGGTAGGTTGATTTAGACAAAGCCAGGCTTGTTATTTCCACTTGGTTCCAGTCTTTATGCTAAGCTAAGCTAACCAGCTGCTGGCTAGTGTATTTTCCAAAATTTTGAAATGTTGCTAAATCCTGATTGATGCATGGATGCATGTGTCCTACCCACTTCAAACTATTGAGAGGAGCCAGAGAAAAACGCCAGAAATATGAGCCTTTGCTCATTGTAACAGTTGATTGAGAAAATATGTTTTCAGGGCCTTTTGATACAAATATTTTCAGGTGTTAATTTCACACTAACTGACTTGAAATGGACCAGAAGCCACAGCTCACCTCCTTCCACCAACACACCCTTTACCTCTGTACTGTGTTGACCCTTCTCTCCATCACTTGACCCCCTCATCATTCCGACTCTCTTTCTCACCCTCTTCCATTCACAACTTCCGCTCCACTTACAACCTTTATCCCCAACCCCACCGAGCAGAACAGGCCTGTTTGAGGTAGAGGGACCATCATTATGCCACGGCCAGGTTATAGGTTATATGTGCAGCAGCCACTTAAAGGGACAGTTTACCCAGAACACATATAAAAAAATGTTTTGTTTGTTACACCTAAATATGCAGATAGTTTTGGTTTTATCTGCATAGGCTTTGAGATTCCTGCTGAAACCATCCTAATACGATAGAAGTGGATGGCCATCATTTGTTTCAACACAGAGAGGTTTTCAAATGCCATGTTTCACCACATTGTCCCAGTTTCTGAGAATAATTTTAATTGGGGACTATTTTCACCCCCCTTCCCCAAAAAACCTGTAAAATCTGTGCTAATGACACGTTACTGTCAAGTTTTTCCAATACAGTGTTTTTACACCGGTGCCACACCTCTTTTGTGATGGAATGGAGTCAGATAGTCTAACTGACGGATATCTCCAAACCTCTGCAAATTAAACCAAAACTATCTCCATGCTTGTTAGTGTGAAAGTGTGACAATATGTGTCTATTTTGGCTGAACTGACCCTTTAATCTGACCACAAACTGAGTACATTCAACTATTTTATCCTAGTGTTTGTTGTCTCAGGTGTCAGTGAGAGTGGCAGAGATGGATATAATCTTCTCTGTTAGTTCTTATGGTATTATTTGTATTATTAATTGAGTTTATCTCCTGGATTGTGTGATTGTGTGTGTGATGTCATGTTATGTGGCATTATCAATGCCACATAACACAGATATAACTCTCAAAATTTATATAGAATTTCGTTTAAATGTGTGTTTTATTTTGCTCATTAGACTTTAGCTAACAATACACCAGGCTAGTGTAGTGAGATCTTTATATGTTTATAAGAAGATAAGAAGATTGCTACCACTCTCATGTCTGTAAAGGAACCATAAAGCTACAGCTAGCAGCCATTTAGCTTAGCTTAGCACAAAGACTGGAAACAGGTGGAAGCAACGAACCTGTATGTTGTTTTTATGCGTCAGTTTTTGTAAAACGAGATATAACACATTGTGAGTTGACCGTGTTCCAGTGTAACAAATCTGAAAACCAACCATTTCGCCAGGGTAGCTATTAGCCATGGTTAGCAATAACAGCTGATAGCAATGTATTACGCTGTATTTTGCTCATACAAGCATGTCCACAAACAAAAGTTGGACGGTACTGTGTGTACTGATTTAATGAGACACAAAAGACAGAAGTGCTAATAAACAGTTTTCATTCAAGCGCAGAGCAGCCATCTTAGATTTTGAGTTTGGGGTTAGTGAGGTTCTTCCGACTTTCCTAATTGGAAATCCGACTTCAGGGAGCGTTCCGATCGAAATTTCAGGGAGCTGGTCTCCCTTGTTTTCCAGTCTTGGTGCTAAGCTAAGCGGCTTCTGGCTTCAGCCATAAAACAGCAAATTATTTTTACAATGTGGTTTTTGTACAGATGAAACTACCTGTAGATGAACAGTTTGTTACCTTCAGACAGAGCCAGGCTAGAAATATAAGGTAACTTTAAGCTAACTAAAGTCCTGGCTGTGGCTACATAATTTCCATCTAACTCTTAAGTTACCTAAATGTCGATCTATTCTTTTCACATTATTCCCTAGACAACCTGTAAGTTTACATCTAAATCCCTCTGTGTTGTCTTCTTGAATATTGCAGCAGAGCAGCACCAGTGTAACCACCCATTCATTTCTTAAACCATAGCCACTCACCCTTTGGCTTACAGCATTTATAACCATTATGATTGAGACCATGTCAAATGTATTTACAATAGACCTCATGTATGTCTCTTGGGTTTGACTTTGGGGATTTTGTTAAAATGTTCATGTATTCTCCAATTTCTAACCGTCACTCCCACTCACATGCTGCCATTTTAATACTGCCAGGAGTAATGATGTAACTACTTTATAGACACTTCTTGCTGCACTCTATAACGTTGAAATCCCCTGTTGCCAATTACTTAACCACCCTTCTTCCTCTCTCATTCTTTCCATATCTCTCTCTCTGACTGTCTTTTTCTCTCCTCCCCTCTTCCATTGTTAACTCTTCCCTTCTCCCCTGTTTGGCCTTTCAGTGCAGCACCATTTGGCCAGTGTGCAGGAGAGGAAGATTAAGCATGAGAGCGATGGAGTGCAGTTTCCTTACCATGGTTAGAACAACATTAAACATTATACTGTGTACATGTATACATGCTCTCCTTCAGCTCACACCACCCTCAACTTGTACACATCTCTTTCTCTCCTTTTTTCAAGTCTGTTTGCACTTCCTGTGAGCTCTCTGAGCCATTCTGCATTTTCCATTCGTCCTCTTCTCTCCTCTTCTCTTCATCCCTCTCTTGTGTCTTGTTCTCTGGCTATGCTGCTGCTGGGTGGGGTTGTGTTTCTACCAGATGTCTGCTGTTGTCCATTGCGGGTTTACCAAAGCCTTTTGGTAGCCCAGTAGCTCCATAACATCCACCGCCTGTCTGCCTCAAAGAGCTTGTTGTAAATCTGTGAAAGAAATCAGACATCTAGGAGGGTGAAGACATTCCCTAGAACATTACAAAAAAACACTCTTATCCTGACATACACTGCTTGACAAACAATCTACTGTATTTTAAATGTGTAGTTATGTGCATTATCATATCCAGAAACCATGATGTTGTGACGCACCACATGCATACAAAGAGTTTCAGAGGTAGTGTAAATTTGTCAGCAACATTCAGCTAAGTGCTCTGGGTGTTGTAATTTTGTTGTTGAGCCCCGAGAGAGAAAGCGTTGAAAGACACACAGGTGGCGGGGTTCTGTCTGTGTGTGTGTGTGTGTGTGTGTGTGTGTGTGTGTGTGTGTGTGTGTGTGTGTGTGTGTGTGTGTGAGTGTGTGTGCGTGTGCGTGCATCCATGTGAATGACAGTTTGTTGAGTTAGTGTTAGCCACTTCATCCGGCCAGTTGTTTAGACAGAGCTGTTGAGCGGTGTCCCACCTGCCGTAGGCCTGACTCAACCGTCTCTGAAAGACGGCGCGGGAAAAACAACATACGACCCAAACAAACAGGACTAAAGGCACTCAGGTGTGTCATCGACGCACAAGGCGCCTTCTGTCTCCGAGACATGCTTACTCACTAACACGCACATTTACAAATGGCACGCAGAACCACACACACACACACACACACACACACAACCAAATTTAAGCTCTTTCCCTGATTTACATTCACACACACATAAACACACACACTCCCCAATCTGGAGAGGAGCAGCGTTCCGGTCCAGATGGCGGCTCCATGTGTCTACAGCGAAGGGAGCTACTGGGTTACAGCAGACATCTGTTCTGGTGATGGTGGTGGTGGTGTTGGGAGTGAGAGATGAGGAGGGGCGGAGGATGGGAGGGAGGGAGGAAGAGGGAAAGGGGAGGGCCTCCGTCTCTGCCTGCTCTGGAAGGTGATCCTCTACCTGAATGAAAAGCTCTGAGGCATAGCAGGTGATCATGTAATTCATCATTAAGTCTGCTGTCTCCCGCACTGCTCTGCTCCGTTCTCTCCTTCTGCCTGCTTGCTCCTGCTGCTCAGTGGTGGGAAAAACCCGCTACCAACTTTTCAGTAAGGGGCGGGAGGGAGGGAGGGAGGGAGGAGGGGGTCCCAAGTATTTGTGATATTGACGGAGAATTCCAGCTAATAACTTGGGCTTGTGAGGTGTGTATGGTTGCAGTGTTGTTAAGGTGTCCTTGCTTTGCCTGAATGAGCACTAATGATGTGTTCACACATTCACTTAATGTACATTGTTTCTATACCTGAATGAGTGTACAAGCTTTTCCCCCTCTGTGTGTGTGTGTGTGTGTGTGTGTGTGTGTGTGTGTGTGTGTGTGTCCGTGTGTGTGTGTGTGTGTGTGTGTCTCATGCACATGCTAGTGGACCAGTTCTGTGACAGTTAGGGGGTTTGTGTGGTCGCCAGCTTGTTAGCGTGGCAAGACTAGAGGGTCATGGGAGCAATTGGCTGCCAGTCTGCTCATGCAGTGTGCCAGGAGCAGGACACAGAAATAATGTAGAACAAACAACTGTGTATGTGTGAATATGTGTAGGCTCTCTCACACACACACAGATTAAGGGAGAGATCAGAGTAACTTCTGTTAGCTTTATCAGACAAAGCTTTCATTGGGCATCTGGGCCTCATTTGCTGCTCCTCACCGAGAAGCCTCGTCATAGCAGATATTTCATCAAGATACCGACTAATTAGGGAATATCACAGAGACTAAAAACAATATGTATAATTTAAGGCTGTTTATACATAATAAGCTGGTTGTAATTGAACTTGTGCTGTGGTGGCACGCAGTCATCTCCATACGTACCACAGGGGAGCTGAACAGGCTTTATTGCAGGGATGCATTGAATCCACAACATGGTGTCTGTGCTCGCAGTGTGAATTTAAAGTGCCAGTTAAAGATACATTTTACCCTGACTCTAATATAGCACTGTGTTCATTAGATGGCTAACCTATTAGTTGTTGAGTATTTTAATTGAATACTACTTTAAACTTCCACTTTTACACTTACAAAGTAAATGTTGTACTTTCATACCATATCTGACTGCTATAGTTACTTTGCAGATTAAAGTTTTACATACAAATAACAATACAGTATATACTGTGAATTAATAACACTTAAAGCTGCAGTAGGTAATTAAAAAAAAATCATATTTTCTGACATTTTCTCTATGCTTACATTAATGCATCAGACAGATAATCTGTGAAAAAATCAGGTTCCTCTGGCTCTGTGGATTCTTTCAAATGGCATCAGGAGCACTAGGAGGAGCCAGCGGAAGCTGATTTTTTCACAGATGATCTGTCTCATGTTCTACTGTCAGGATATAGTGAAAGTTTCAGTGAATATGACAATTTTATTTTTATAAAAGTGAATTACATTACATGTGAATGCATCAACAATTATTATGCAATAATACAATACAATACATATGTATAATATAATACTATAAAGTGGCTTTTCAAAATAATGAGTCCTTTTTTTATTATTTAGTAAACATATTAACCCCTTTCATGTTTATGGCTAACATTTGCTTACACATCCGGCAGATACAGAACATAAATTAGCATTTATTTTGTGTCGAATTTTTAACTAATTGATGGGTGTAAATCCAATATTAGCTGTTAAATGCTCCTCTGTGTTCACAAGCTATAGCCGCTGGTGCTGGACAGGAAGTGCATTTTTGCCTGCCTGCTGTGGCTGGAAACAGCGCCGATGAGAGCAGCGAGAGTGAACCAAAACTGCAAAGTTGTGGGCTGGAAAACCAAAAAACGAAGCTATAAAGCTTTGTAGAGCTGCAGAGTCAGGTGATAATCCTCTGTGGGTTTGCTGCTACTAGTAAGCCTGTTCATATGCAAGTATCCATGTGATCCATTGTTGATTATAGCAGCTCTAAGTAAAGGATCTGTAGCAGCAGGTGTACTTACTCCCTGTCCAATAAATTCAATTGGTTATAATATATTACAGCAACATTCCAAACACAGCATCGGAAGTAAAATATCGGTGCCAGATGGATGACGAGCCTACGCTACTAATGTTGTGCTGACTGCAGCAATATACTTTTTATCTTCCTGAAACTTTTGTTTCAGTGTTCAGCTGTTCTTCTACTCCACTTGTATTTCCTTTTTGACTCAACGATTGGCCAAACCCATTAGGATTATCGATGACCTGCAATGCTATGTCAATATAATACATAAATGCTATTTAGTTACCTTTCCCTTTTTTACTCTTTCTTTCTTTTCTCTGGATCCGTGGGAGAAAGTTTGTACAGCCTTGTGTGCCTCCATGGTTGTAAGAAAATCTCACATTTTTTGTTTGTGTGTAGCCTTCCTTTTTTCATTTTTCTACCGGTAAATAAAATGTATCTCACCCTGCTCATTGTATCCGCTCTTCCACCTACATGTGTCACATGATGTGCCTAGCTGAACATAAGCGCCGGCGCCCACCTTTTTCTATACTTATCGGTGCCCACACAAGCACAGCTGCGCCCTTGGTGCCTATGAGCATTGTGGGTAAATAGTGATAAAACATTTCCCAGTGTAGCATTAAAAAAAAGCTTTTCAGAAATCTGCTCTGTTAGCCTTTATATCCTTAGCTCATAAAATCTATTTCCACGTCTCTTTGGGCCATGGTGAAATTACCCACGTCTTTATTTGAGTGTATTTGTTTTATATGTGTGAATATTGTGTCGTTTACTAGTTTATGGGGTTTTTGCTCGCCAAGGTTGTTTATCACTGTATTCTCTCAACCAGATCTGGAGCAAACAAAACATGAGTCCAGTATGTTCCAGAGAAAAGTAATGTGGTCTGTGTGTCCACGCTGATGTACTTTTCTATACTTTTCCTTCGTCATTATTCTCTGCTTTATGGATTTTTCTTTCCAACGTTTTATTTCAGCATATATTCAACATTGCGGTTTCCCGGCAGAGGTCAGATACACCATTTGGCACTGGTCCTCAAACCCTGAAAGTCTAAATTGTGCCTTTGGATTACCATACATCAAAATAAATTCCCTCTGCACCCACCACACGAGGCCTTGATCACAGAAGAGGGCCTCTTTTATCTGTAGCTCTCACACTTTTGGCCATGTTTCTGGTCCGTTGGTGAGCCTGGCCTATACTTAGTGTGCCCGTTTTTACCAAACTGAGGGATATTTCATGCAGTCCTTCAGCCTCAGCCGACATTTATAGACAGAGGGGGGACACTTTAATATGTCTATGTGTGCCGTCACCGTTCCTCTCCTGTTTAACTCCTTACATCTTTCTAGCGCTCTGCCATCCAGCGTTCACTGGCACTTTGCCCAGTGCTCGCCACCCTTCCTGAACAGCTTATGTGCGTGTGTGTGTGTGTGTGAGTGAGTGAGAGAGAGAGAGAGAGAGAGAGAGAGAGAGAGCACTTCTTTATGAAATACTATAAGGCAGTTACATAAAATACCTGATGGTCAGATATGCAGGAGGACGCTACATCAGAGGACGGGTTGATGTTTGTTTTGGCACACTCTTTCTGAAGCTATATGTAGCAGCTCATGCTGGCTTTGGCTTGAAAAGCACTGTCTGCCCCAGATATGAGGCCGTCCAGGATCCCATTCAGTAGGTTGGTTGGCGTGTTTTGTTGAGTGTGGTCCTGTAGCCACGCTGGGGCTACGAGATCGTCGTGGTTTGCGATTTGTCAGACCTGAAAAAGGAAGCATCTCTGAGTTCCATGGTGTTCCCTGTGAGTAGAACAAGTGAGTAGGACTCAGCTCTACACTTCAGAGGCGACCATTAGTTGGACTGCCATTGCATTTCCCAGCTCTCCTCTCTCCTGACACTAGCCCCCCAGCCTCCCGACCTCCCCACCCCTCACCCCTTTCTCCCGTCACCTTCGCTCTGAACCCCTGCTGCTTCAAAACATGGCCTCTCACCGGACCCTGCCCTCAACCCTCAACCCTCAACCCCGCCCCCCCCCCCTGCCCCCCCACCCTCAATCTGACAGATATGGTACAGCCCGCTGACTGTACACAAACATAGAGTACTGGACAGACAGATTGTGAGAACCCATCTGTATGTTAAGCCAATCAACAAATCAATGAATGAATCAATCGATCAGTCCATTGATTTCAGCCAATCATGATCATTCGATTCTTGCAGTCAAATTAAAAAGTGATAAGCTTATTTTTCTTTTTTCTTTTTTTTAGTAGAGTCAAAGTAAGAAAAGCAGCCATGTTTGATTAAAACCTCGTCTCTGTTCTGCCATTTTGTTGATCCCCTTTTTGCCAGGACTCTCATCGCCTAGTTCTCTTAAGAAGCCGGGGAAATTCGATTTCAGCGCCCTGTCCTCCCAGACGAGGTCCCCCCGCATGGCGTTCACCCACCACCCACTGCCAATGCTGGCGGGAGTGAGACCAGGTGAGACCACCCCAGCTCCCGACCCCCCTCCCCCCCCGATTGTCCCCAACCCCTTACCTCCCAAACCCTACCCACCCCTCACCATCTCCTCCTACCCACCCCCCACTCCTTCAGGCCCCCCCCTCCCCCCCACCTCCCCGGGGCAGAGTTGGGAGCATTGTCTTTGGGAGACCAGAGTGGCTGGGAACTAAAAGCTAGCAGGTGCCTCCACCTCCTCCTCGTAGGGTGCAGGTCAAGCTGGTGACGGAGCTTCTTGGGTGTCTGGGTGTGGTGTTCTGGGTCTGTCTGGTGGATGGTTGGTGGTTGTACATGTCTAGATATCATCTGTATCAGTGTTTCTCAAACTTGCACGTACCACATCAGAAAATATCAGGCTCTCCAAACACCACCATTATGAGTGGCGTTAACAGACAGCAGCGTAGGCCAACCTTGTAGCTACACACTTCACACAGGAGGAAGGTTTATTCCTAATGAGATTATTTATTGTTGACTTGTTGAATCCTAAATGGAACCGGTTCTAGTCCACCGTCTCTTCCAATAGTTCCCGTTTTGAGCCACAATTGCAATCACATTCAAGCTTGTAACTAATCATGGATGTATGCGTGCGCTACTGTGTTCATGAACGTGACTACGTAGCAGGCTGAAAGATTAACTTAATGCTAAATGTTTTGTGTTTGAACTAAAACTTAAAAAATGTACACACTAGGCCTATATTTCAACATTACATTCATCCCTTTGAAGACAACCATATGAAATTGTTATTTTTGAAGTTTAGATTATTATTTAAGATCTTAACTGCAACTGAACACAAGCTTTATTCACAGAGCCCCACTCTCTGATAAACGGCTTCATTTGGCTAACGATGGCAAAGTGTCTTGCAGAAGAAAACACTGAATTTATCAATAAATAAGCCATAAGTATGTATAATTGTAAAAAAATATATAATACAGAATTCTATCAAAAGTTGCTAAAAAATATCAGAAAACTCATCTCTGATCAATATTCTCAGGAAATAAATCTGCTCTGAATTCATCCAAATTTCTGGTTTTACTCCTTTACTTCCAGCAGTTATTGTGTTCACTGTTTGGGTTCATTGTGCAGTTTATCAGCTGTTCTCTACTGTTATTATTATGCAGCGAATAGAATATGAAATATCCATAAAATATGTCACTCCGTTTACTCAATGATAGAAAAGGTAAATGGTAAATGAACTGTACTTATAGAGCGCCTTTCTAGCCTTTTGACCAGAACAGGGATCCCTTAAGGAAAAAGGTTGGGAACCAGTGCACTAAAGGGAGCTTGGGTAATTTGAGAACCAGTGATCTATATAGATCGCCGTGTAAGAGTGAAGGAGCAGGACCAGGGGGTTGCTGCTGCTTACTCTGTCACATCTGTAATTGCACAAGCTTTAGTTGATTGTAAGTGTTCTTGTTTTGACATAATGATGTGACTGACACTTGAATCAAATTTAATTTGTTCATTGACATATCTTGTCATGTTTTATGACACGTTCACGAAACTTGCAAAAAATTATAGAAACTGAAGACCTAATAAGGTTAAAGACTAAATGAATAAACAAACGTCTAGACATATTTTTAATTGTCTCAATCTCGCTTTTTTGGAACCAGAGACAAAAAGTCAACATAATCTTGGATTCTGTTTCTTTTGATTTTGACCATTTATTTAATCAGTCTCTTGTTAAGCCCCTACCTTTATAGAAGTACAGTACAATAGCAAATCAGTGCGGGTCCTAAATCGCAGGTTTTCATGAGGCCATGTTCATGTCTGTATAGCAACTGGTTTGGGGCCTTGTCATGAATTGAAATTTTGTATGGGAGGATGTAAATATACACCACCACATCTTTCCATTTTCTCTAGACTTTTTCCTGTCTTTATTTACTACTTCCCAATTATATATATATATATATATATATATATATATATATATATACTTCCCTTATTGACTTGCTTTTGTTGACTGTGTTGGAACTCCAAATTTGATCTCTATGTGGGTGAGCACATGTCTTTTATTCATACTGGCAAGGGCAGAATAGAAGACTCTGAGTTGCTGTGTGAACCAGCTGATCCTCCACCAGGCTGAAACAAGCAGCTCATGATAGCATCAGATACCAAACCGAGCCAAAGGGACTCCGACTATAAATCATCACCATTGTCACCATGGCACAGATCGAAAAAGAGACTTCCTCTTCTTTTTGGAAAGTGCACGTCTGTGAATTCACCCAGTGAAGGAGCTCACTGGAGATGATTACCCATGTGCTTTGGTTCTGTAGCTAGGCTACATCAAAGGCATTTTTAAGCCACCAAGCAGATGTGAAGCAATGAGGTTGACCGCTGTGTCATTAAACCCTCCTCCGTGGTTGTTGACAGACCCTATGCCTCTTGAGATGTAACTACAGCAAATCAAATCTCCACACAAACACAAATACATGTTCACACTAACATGAGCACATACACACAATATCCCATGCTTGTTGTGGCCTGAAGTTGTGATTTATACAGTTGTGATTTGTTTCTTTTTACACAAACTCTTACAATGTGCAAGCTGGAGCTGGTCCCAAACTGGTGTGAAAGTGCTTACCACATCATCAGTGTTGTTTTTATATGTGGAAGACAAGATCCAAGGGGATTTATGCGTTGGAGGGGTTAGTTGCTTGCAGTAGTGTTGTGGTTTTTTTAGTAGGGTTTGTCCCTCCAGCCACATTCAGCCATGTTTCTTCTACAGTAGTGATTCCCAACCAGAAGTACTCATGGGGATCTTCTGCAGTTGTCAGGGAGTATTTCATAGACGATTGTGGAGTAATTCAACTAACTATGAAATATGAAAATCACAATTTCCATCCATCTATCCACCCTTTAGCTATACCTGCATATACTTCAGAAGCTTTATGGAGACTCAAGGTACTGCCTAGACAGGTTGTCAGTCAATCACAGGGCTGAGACACGTTACACAAAACCATTTACACTCACACCCACACCCATGGCCAATATAAAAACTGGAACCCATGGAGAAAACCCATGCAGGCATAGGGAGAACATACAAACTCCACTAACCACTACACTATCCACACAGTAAGTCAGCTGTAAGACAATGTGTTGAAATTGAAGGTGTGTGAAAACTAATTGGAAAGAAAGCAGAGATGTCTCAACAGCCAGTTAAACATTCTGGATAAATGGCTGGAAAAGACGGCTAAAACTAATGGATGAATGTTTGAAATATAGTTAGCTAAAGCTAATTGATAAATGATTGCAATTGTTAGCTAAAAACAATAGATAAACGGTAGAAATACTTAGCTAACAGTAATGGATAAATGACTGAAACATAAGCTCCAAGTGGTAGTGCAAATGCCAATTTGAGCAAATAGACCTAAACAGTGGCAGTTAAAGTATATTTACAAAATGATTAATTTTTGTATAACAAATATTGTTAAATAACATCCAGTTTAAAGCTACACATTTGGAATAGGGTGGGTGGTGTCGACAAAGAGGTAGTTGAGACAGGGGCGAGGGAGTTTATCAGACAAAAAAGGTTGGGAACCACTGCTCTAGAGGCAGAGGGTAGGGGTGATGGGATTCCCTGTGATCCAGTCTCCCCTCACCATCACTACCAAACCCACACCCTCCCAATCCACAACCCGCCCCCATACCCCCAGAGTGTTTGGCCTTCACCCAGTCTCTAATGGGATTAGTAGGGGACTAATAGAAGCAGGGAGACAGCTCCACTGGGGAGCAGGCAGCCTGGCATGGGAGCAAGGTGTTGCTGGGCTCAGAGGCATAGGCCCCCCTGTCTTGGGGGTAATGCAGCGGGTTTGGCACTCTTCATGAAGTACACTCACACACAATGTATAAGATGCAAGCACCAAAGAGTGTTGGCAGCCCAACATGGGCAGCTGGGGGGCCTAGATGGGATGGGGTGGGTGTCAGACTGGCACAGCAAAGAGGAGAACAGGCTTCTAATACAAATGAAGGAGATTTAGTAATGGATATATAGGTCTGACAGAGAGCGCTTTGTGTTTGGTGGTAAGACTCAACCAACTGCTCCCCTGTCACACCTCACACATACATTCAGCTCTGTTTGGTGCGAGTTCCTCTATTTTCCCCTCACGTAAAACAAAAAAGAATGCTTATTTTAAATAAGCTTATTAGCAGCCAAATGCTGATATATTTTGCATCGCCACACCTGTCACACACACACACACATATCTTCAGATAGAGGCCCCAAAGCCCATTAGCAGAAAAACATCAACTTAGACGTACAGTGTGAACGTACAGATTAGTTCTGTCATAGAAACAAAATGAGTCAGATGAAGAAAAAAAATGGCTTTACCGTCCGTGGATGCCAAATTGCATCAACGCCAATGAATCACACCCTCAAAACAGCACACAGGCGTGCAGGCATTAAGACCGGCTAATTTAAGACAGTACTAAATGATCTCTTTGTGCTTTTTCTTTTTACAAGCTCTTTGGATCTGATTTCAAAATATAGTGCTTGCATTGAATTTGCACATTCAGGTATGTGCAGTGTTTGAATGGTGTTGACTGAAATTGTTATGTAGTCTCTCTGAGTGTGCACATATGAGTGCAATGTGTGTGTAAGTCTCCTCCATAAAGCTGTATAGATTTACTGGAGTGATCATAAAACATTATGAGCAAGGCCCATAATGGCTATTAACTTGAAATCAGCTTTTCTTGGAAAAACAACGTTCCTTTCATGTACGACATTTTAAAACCGGATTAAAACTTTATCGTTTCCAGTTATGATGTAATATTTCTTGCTATCATTTGGTAATCACTCAGTACATCTCTCCCATCTATAAGAATGTGGAGGAATTCAGTGGTTCACATCTTCCTCTCGCTCACTGCATCTGTCTCCACTCTTGTTCCTCTAATACAAATGTCTCTGTTGGCAGGGAGTCCCCGTGCTTCAGCCTCAGCCCTGCACTTCCCGTCTCCCTCCATCATCCAGCAGTCTAGCCCCTACTTCACCCACCCAACCATCCGCTACCACCACCACCCTGGACAGGACCCCCTGAAGGAATTTGTGCAGTTTGTCTGTGCTGATGGCTCGGGGCAGGCCGCCGGACAGGTAAGGCTTGCTGCCTGAGAGTAGGAACACTATTAACTTACAAATGTGCCACACCCTGCACCTAGCTTGTATTAGTATTGAAGGTTTTTGAAAGGTTTTTGTTGTAGTAATAGTGTAGGACAGTTATAAAATATTCAAAGAGACCACTGAAAGGAGAAGTCAGTTAGTTAGTGGATAAATGTGTGTTTGGAAGCAAAAATAGGCCACAGTAAATTATTGCATTGATATATTTTACTTTGAGAAGTCTGTCTGACTCAAAAAATATTTCTGGTTCAAGAAAATTCCCCTGTCCGAGATGTCACTCATCTGAAGTGTTTTTTTCTTGGCTCATGTGACTGACAGGGGGCAACCTGATGAGACCGCATTGTCTGATTGATTCCTTCAGGTTTGATTGCAGCCAGAATATTCTAATCAGATTTTTTTCAATTTGAATTTTGATGTGTAATTTAACTGATTTAATTAAAGCAACCTGATCTTTTGACATGGATAAATTTTTTGAATTTGAGGAACTTCAGTAGAGTTTTCTTATATTGGACCCTCAAATTTTTTTAATTACCAACAAAAAAGAAAAAAAAAAAAAAAAATATATATATATATTTGCTTACATTTAAAAATTAGATATCCAGTTACTAGTAAAAATCTAATTGTTTTGGCCTGTTGTTACTTCCATACATGTGCCTATTTTAGTAAAGCTAGCAATTGTTTTGAGCACATTTGCATTGCTCTACAGTGCCATATTTTATAATTATATGAATGTCATTACTTTCAGTGGACAGTGCATGCTAAAAGCTTATTGTATGGTGTTGTATTACTGCATACAACATAGAAAAATTCACAAAAATACACACCACAGCAGCACAAGTGAACACACTAGACATATGTATTTTCAGTTGGTCTACAAATCTGTGTATTGTCTTGTCAATGTCATTTTGACGTTTGCTGTTTCAGACCCCAACGTTCCCCCTTCTCCCCTCCTTTTTTAAATTTTTTTTGCTCCACCCAACCCCTCAGAAGTTACAACCATCAGCACGAGAGTGAATCAGTCACAGCACACTTCAAGTCAAGCATACCCGTCCTGTGTTGTGTCATCGTGTTTCTGTTTTCATCTCTAGCTGTTCCGATTTTAGTTGGAGTTTGGTTGTTTGGTGCTGGTATCGTTGGTGGTGTTGTGCTTGTGTAGACGAGTATTCTCCCATGGTTTTGATTTCTTGCCATCTTCTGGACAAACCCAGTCAATAATTTGCTCACTCTCCCTCCTCCACACCTCCTCCTCCACCCACCACGGACCACCCCTGTGGAACCTCTCACCTCAAGCTCCAGCTCCCACTCCTATCAAACCCTGTGGTGATTATTATTTTTCACACCTCCATAAAAGATGCGTCCACATACTTCATTCCTTTGGTTGTTGTTTCCCACCACTTCCTCTCCCTCCTTCCACCATCGCCCCCACCCCCCACCCCCCCTCCGTCATGGATATTTTTTTGGACCTGGCCTCCCGAGCTGCGTCCTCTTTTCATTCCGTGTCTGCGGATTGTCGCATGTCGCCCTCCTGACCCTATTTGTGTTGTCTGCAGCCAAACGGGAGCGGCCAGAGCAAAATGCCGGGCTCCTTCTTGCTGCCTCCACCTCCCCCAGTGGCCCGCCCAGTGCCCCTCCCTATGCCCGACTCTAAACCCAACAGCACGCCCCCTGACGGCGGACTCTCCTCGCCCGCATCTCCGTGTAAGTGACCCCGCAGAGACCGTTCTCAAAACCAACCCAACAAAAAAAAAAATCAGAAAATCCCAACCCTCTCCAGTGAAAAGACCCCTGCCATTGTTCTTCCAACTTCGTGCCATCATTGTTCCTGTGTATCCAACATTTCATCTCCCTTTATCCCTGGAAGGCTATCGAAAGAAGCACAGGATTTACTGTGGAGCTCAGTAGAGTAGATCACCAGAGGTCTGGTGAGACATATCTTTCTTAATGCACTTTCTTAATGGAGAGCACTGTGGTGCTCATCAGGGTTCTGTATTAGGTCCCATCAGTTTGAGTGGTTTTACATGTTGAGCCCGTTCTGCGTTGTCTGGTGTTGAAGCTGCATCACCAACCCAGTTCTTCTCCTTCCAAATCCTCCGTTCTTCCCCTGGACTCATTAGCAAAAAATCATTAATTAATTTGTGACAAGCACAAATTTAGGGCAGTTAATTTATATGGACTCCAAAACATTCCAGTAGAAATTGGGACATTGGTGGAAAAATGTTATTCCTACGTGTTTTTGGTAGAGCTGATTTTACCTTCTTGTTGAGATTTTGTTTCGTTTGAGGATTGTTAAGAAGAATAGGGTGTGTTTTTAAGGTGAAGGGGTGATGTCAGTCGAACCGTGGGGCTTTTCTCACAACACATTTGTCTTCTTTACCTGTGATAGGAGGGGCACTGGATGGAGCACTTTTAATTTTTTGTTTGTAGCTTCTCTTCAAATTTAGTGTTTGCGTTTTACCCCCCAGTCAGTGTCTCAAAGTCTTTTATGTCTTATGTATGTTATTCCAATTCTAAGAAACACATGGATGTATACTGTATATGTCCATACACATAAATCTCCAAATTTTCTTCCTCTCTGTCTCTCTCCTTCTTGTCCTCTCTCCCGTTCCTCCACACAAACAGACTCACATATGCACAAGTCTTCACACTGACTGCATCCTGAATCCCTCAGTGAGATTCAAATGCTGGAGTCCGTAGGGTACCTCAAACTGCCCTAAATTTGTCAGAGACTTTGATGCCAGTGGGTTTTAACTGTCCCTGACTGATCCTCAATGTCAGGATTCTGGTGCGCTCAATCACTTTTTAACTGAGTTTATCAGCGGGATTTAATCACTCAGGGAGATCTAAGTTTGCAAACCAGATTTTGGCAAACTTCTTTGTGGAGTTTTGATGACCTCAATGAAGTAGTAGCAGTACTTCTGTAATACTAAGTGAATTTATCTGAATTGCTTTGATATTTAACAGCAGTGATGCAGTAGGTTTACTGTATGCTATTACATGTTAAAGGAATAGCTTGACATTTTTGGAAGTACACTTATTTGCTTTACCACTTTGTACCACATTCATGTCTGTTTGATAAATCTGAAGCTACTCCCAGCAGCGGGTTAGCTTAGCTTAAAGACTGGAAGCAGCGGGAAACAGCTAGCCTGGCTCTGTCCAAAAGTAACAAAGTCACAGTACCAGCACGTTTAAAACTAATTAACATGTTATATCTTATTGGTTTAATTTATACAAAAATTGAAGTGTCTTAATTCGACACATTGGAATATGTGTCGGACTATTTCTTTGCTATTTCTTGTCATTTTTACACTGCGTTTCTTGTAGGGATTAAACAAACAACAGGTTAATGAGTGAGCACACAATGTTGGCGTAGACGGTGTTTTTTTCCACCTCACATGAAACAAGGTGGACACAGGCGATAAAAAGTAGAAGCAGGTTAATTTTTAAATAATATCATGAAGAAATTCAGTGAAAAATAAGCTGTAGAAGTAGGAGGTGATGCAGTAAAAGGTTGCAATCGTCATATCCGGTAAGTGTGCAACAGCCATGCTCAATTTGACACAATGCTATGCTGTCAAAATTGTGTAGGCCTACTACATAGCAGTTTACTAACGGAAGTATTAGAATTGAGAGAGAGCATTAGTCTTGGTGCTAAGCTAAGCTAACTAGCTAGCAGTAGCTTCGTATTTACCGTACAGACATGTGTGGTATTAATCTTCTCGTCTAACTTTCAGTAACAAAGTAAATATGCACATTTCCCAGAATGCAACTATTGCTTTAAGATGTTGAAGTGCCAGCTGTCTTTGTGTGTGTGCTGATGTCTTCTTTTGTTCTTCTTCTGTTTCTTTAGCATACTCCACGCCAGGCGCCACAGCTCCCAACAGGTTTGTCGGCATCGGATCACGGGACAACAACTTTCTGAACATCCCGCAGCAGACACAGGTAGGAGTCTGGGATACACTGACAGTTTGTCTCTGTGTGTAAAAGTGAGAAGGAAACTTGTCTGTTTTGACGGTAATTACCGGTCAAACTCAGGAAACTTATTAACTGCGTGGATGTACGCCAAAGTATTCTTATTCCCTCACTTTCTGAAACCTGCTGCTGGGTTTCCACCACCTCTCTTCTCACACCATCCCACAGCGCACCATCAGTGTGCATTTGTATATCTGTATTTTACAGTACGAGTGTGGTTTACCATATGTGCTCAACTGTTTATTTGGCACATATGGAGCCTACCCTTCAGGCAGCGGGCCTTCTCCCTCGCTGCCTTTTCCACTTCTCCTCGCTACCTCTACTTTCCTCTCCTTGCCGAACACCCCTTCTCTCCTTCTCTTTAGCTTTGTCCTGCTCTGCTTCCCTGCCTCCTACTTATTCATTTTCTCTGTCTCTGCCTTGTACTTTCTCCTCTCTTTCACCTTACTCGTTCCTTCCCTTCACCACTCTGCGCCTCATTCATATGCCTCCTCCATTACCACAGTACTTCTCTCATTAGTGTCCAACCACACCCACCTGGAGCCAGCTCAGCACAGCTCTGCTCCTCAACACATGGAAACCATCTGAAACTGCGCGGCTGATCCCCTCCCTTGTTTCTCTGCCCTCAGTTCTCTTACTTGTCCTGCCTTTCCTTTCCCCCCATTCCTGATCCTTTCTGCCTCTCCGCTCTTTACTCCCCTTCGTTTCCATCTCACTCCAACCCTAGTTTCACTACTTTTCACGCTGTCAGTTTTTCTTATTCTTATTTCTAGTGCCTTCTTTGTTACTAAAGTACCTTTCTCTGAATAATCTACCTTAACTTCTTCACTCTGGTATGTCAAGCACAGCTTAATGCACTATGTAGACATCCGAACATTACATCCATATGTGATTGCTGAACATCTCATTTCAAAACTATGGCTATGGCTGTCGGCAGCATATAAATACAACAGCCTCCACAATTCTGTTTTCAGGCTTTCCACCAGATTTCTGAACCTGACTGCAGGGTCTTGCTCCCATCCAGCCACAAGAGCATTATAGTGAGGTTGGGCTCTGATTTTGGGCCATGGCGTTCCAGATTATCCCAAATGTGTTGGATGGGGTCAAGGCCAGTCAAGTTCTTCCACCCCAAACTGGGAAAACCATTTCTTAATAGTTTGTGAACGTCGGGCACTGTCATGTTGAAACAGGAAAGGGTCTTCCGCACACTGTTGCCACAAAGTTGGAAGCACACTATGGTCTAATATATCACTGAATGCTGCAGCATTAGAGCAAAGAGGCCTCAACCAAACCATGAAAGCCCCATACCATAACTAATAAAAGTATATGACAAGGGTATCTGCATAACTTTTGCCTATGTAGCGTGTCTTCATATGCTTTTCTTAAACACCTCATTGATGCTCAATACTGAGTAGGCCTGTGGTATGGTTTTACTTTTCAAGGCAGAACCAAAACACACAGCGTTAATTGTTTGCATGTGCCTCTCAGAAAATGACACAAAGATTAACGATCCACTAAAGAAATGATAGATTGCAAGACAAAGAGCATGTCAGAAGTGTGTATGTGGTGGCTGCAGGATAAGCTGGAGCTCTCACACTGACAACAGTGGGCTCCATGTGCCCTCCAGTGGCAAACCTGAGGTACTGCAACCAGGAAAGAAGGGGAAACAAGATACCAACAGGACAGGAAACAAGGGGAGATGGAGGGAACGGAGCAAACCTTATAGAAGTCACGTCCAGGCCGTCTCGTTCCCCCCGGCAACCAGACATGATGTCATAGCCAGTTGATCTTGAATTTGAGAAGGGGTTGCTTGGGGGGGGCGACGGTGGGGTAGGGGCAGGAAAGAAAAGAGGGTGGTCACTGTCTGCTGCCAAGGATTTAGTGGGAGTGTTCACGGGAGATAGATGGATTGTGTGTGTGTTTGTAAAAGCATACACAGAAAGAGAGAGAGAGAGGGAGAGTAACTAAAAAGGGAGAAGTCACAATGCCCAAGGCCTGCTGGGACAGTGCCCAGGGGAGTAGGGTAGCTGAGAAGTGCATGAGGCAGAAGGGGGGGTATTCATGCGACCTGTTAGAGTCAAACAAAACAAAAGGCTGCTTCCCTGGAGACTCAGAGTAGTTTCCAAGGCTTGACTTCTAGAATGTTGCCGCACTAGCCTACAGTGCCAGATCCTGCAGGCCAAGCAGGGCAGCCAACAACAGCGACGGTGACCCAGTTCTGCTCCCTGCTCACGCTGAGTGGGAGAAACCCAAAGTGAAGATGGTGCAAGTGACAGGGAGCGCCAGACTGCTATCCCCCTGCTGCTGCTTGGCCGTTAGTAGCCATTTACTGCCTGGCCAAAGTGTACCGTGCTCAACTCCAGAAATGGACAGAAGTGATGGTAATAGCTGGGCTGGTGGCCCAGATGACCATTCTGTTACTTACTGTATTTAAGAACTATAGGAATCTCTAGTGGCCAAAAGTCAACACATTGTACATGTCATTTCCAGGGACAAAATAACAAAGATACTCAACAGCACAGCGGTTTTGGTCATAGCTGCTGCTCTGTAGGAATGGTCAGTCAGAGTCTATCCACCACTTTGGTCCAGACTGAAATATCTCAGCAACTATTCCATACATAACCCCTAACCCTTGCCATGAAATTTTGTACAGCTGTTCATGTTCCCCAGAACATTAATCCTACCTTTTGTCTAGCACCACCATGAGATTGACATTTGTGGTTCAAAATAACAACTACAGTATTTGATGGATTGCAGTGAAATTTGCTGAAGATATTCAAGGTCCCTAGGGAATGTGTTCAGTGGTAATTAGCAAACATGTTATGTTGGATTGCATTAGATTGTGTAATAAAGTGGTCACTGTGGCCCCCTTTCCATTAAATTATATCTGTTCAAGATTTTTGGAACCTTGGTGCCATCTAGCGAACTAGCCCGCATTTCCACTGGTTTTGGGTGCTGCACAATGCACAGCAACCTATAGAATATGATGCACACTTTATGATGCACACTGCTATTTTTTGGTTCCAGTTAGGAACCAACTTTTCCTGTTCTGAACCAATTATGTCTGGTCTAAATGCTCTGAATGGTTAAAAACTAAATGCTTGAACTGGAACAGAGCCAGTTGGTGGAAAAGGCTTACTTTCTAACAGTGGGTCTGCTGATTCAACCAGGGGTTTCCATTTAAGCCATGGAAGCATTCAAACTGCCAGTCAAACTGCACTCTATTCAGTTGTATTTTAAGGTTTCTCTTGTATGCACATTAACACACTTTTTACTGACACTAACATGATCTCATTCCCCACCCCCTCTTCCCCTTTGTTTCTGTTGCAGTCTTGGTTCCTCTGACAAGATCTGTGCACAAACCAGCAACTAGAATTCTTTCTTTACAATCGGAAATAAAAATAATGGAGAAACAACCCGCAGGATAATAACTGTCCTCCAACCAACCCACCGACCGTACGTCTCACCTGATACAAAATATAAACAAGCAACGGAGGAAATTACAGCAGCATTATGCTTTTCGAGGAACTCTGGACTCATTTACCCAGTCAGAGGAAGGACCCGTTTCAAGCAAAGATGGATAGATGGAAAGATGAAAGGATGGACAAGAGGATGCCAGGATAAAGAAAGGGGGTGAGGGGACAAACGGCAGCGAGCAGGCGTCTCTCCTGAAACCACCAAACCAGCAAAACGCAGCAGCAACGCAAGAGGAACCTGAGGATGAAAAAGCAGTCAACTTCTCCTACTTTGTGAGGATGCATTGTGTAAAGAATGGCTAAGAAAATCAACTGTCCAACAAAAAAAAATCAGGTTTCCACAACATAGATTATTACATAGAACATTTAAGCTACAAAGCTTCACCCACAATGAATCCACGGCCTGATCAAAGCAAAGACAGTATTTGATTTCCAATGAAAGCTGCAGTCCATGCTCCTGTGATGTCTGTCATCACTCAAAACATAATCAAATTGACCAATGTTTCTCTCCCGCTGAATGACCATTGACTTTATGAAGTCCCTTTTTACCCTACTACTAACTAGAGAGAGACCATGCCAAAACATATCTTGATTAAGGGTTGCACTAGAAGCTGAATCAATTAACACTAATCTTAACGATGTGCACTATTTACCTACAAGGCATGGGAGGTAAACCAGACATGCCTATAAAGAGTTTTAAAGAGGAAAAACCAAGGTACAAGAAGCCTTCGCGTGTCCTCGACCCCCATCCTTCAGTTTGACAAATCATTGGCCTCCGCTCATTCTCACATCTCCCTGCACAACACACACTCAATCTGTGCCATGACCACAGCACGTATGTACAATTGAAAACACACAGTTGCCCAGTCAGACCTTTTAAGATTGTAGTATTCATAGGTGGTGGTGTTGTGTTATCATATTTTAATTTTATATGCGCACAGTAAGCCCAGTGAACCTATCTGATTAGATGTTCAAACATCACACACACACACATTGAAAATCACAGTGTGAGTACATCATTACTGACAGTTTTCACGACTGTAGACAGCAGCTATTGGATCCCCCTTTTGCCCTCTTGTAATGTAGATGAATGATTTTGTTATCTCTTGTGTGTTCTCTTATTTGAATTTATTCCTTTTGGATTTGTACTATTTTATAATTGTTTTGTATTTGAATGACAGCACCTTATAGAGAAACACAGTAAGAAGTGGGATGTCGAAGCAGCGTAGACAGGGTGGTTAGCTGACCTTGATCAAATAGTACATGCCAAGAACATAAAGAAAAGGTTTGACATTATGGAAAATACACTTGGGAAAATTGGTGCCACTCTTGCATGTTAAATATGGTGCTAAACAAGCAGTCTGTTAGATTATTTTAGCATAAAGGCTGAAACTAGTGAACAGCTAGCCTGGCTCTGTCTAAAGGTAACAGAATTTGCAAACCAGAAAACCGAAACATCGTGTAAAAACAACGGCGGTTGGGACCTGGCGACTGGTCACAGCCAAGAATTATTCCAACACATAAACCCGGTAAAACGAGAAATGCCTTTTTTACACATAGATTCTTTTGGCTGCATTGTTTGTGCTGTGTGGATTTTGTTACCTTTGGACATAGGCAGGCTAGTAGTTTCCCCGGTTTTCTGTATTTGTGCTAAGCTAAGCTAACTGGCAGTTGGCTATAGCTTTATATTTAACGTGGTGGTATCAATCTAACTCTCAGCTTGAAAGTGAATAAGCGAATTTTCCGAAATATCGAACTTTGACATGGTTTGTTTGCCATACGCTGTACTTGAAGACCACACAATGCAGGGTTTTGACAATCACAGGAAGCTCATTTTGTGGGAACTTACCTGCTAAACCACACAGGTCAACAAAAAGCTAAAAGACTAGCCGCATCTACTGCTTGACCCAGGTCCAGCTGGTGACTGGTGGTGATACATGAGCGATAGAAGAACAGAACCAAGGAGGGAAGGTTGCTGGAGATGGGACCCAGAGTAAAAGAGAGAATAGCTCTTCTTTCTGTCTCCCTAAAGTTTACCCTGTTGTTTACACTCCCAGACGGGCCGCTGCTCCAAGAGCAGAGGGAGCCACACTGTGGAGCAAAATGAATATGTGACATATCTGGCTGGTTTCGGAGAGGGAACGAGGGCCTCTAAGGCTTAGCAGTAGGAGGATCACCCTTGTGCCCAGTTTTGTTTCGGTGCACGGGATCAGGTAATGGATATAGGTTGTTATGGTAATCTCCCCCAACACACACACACCAGCACTCCCCTCTAGCTATTGTGAATCGATGAGCCCTTAATGATCAAAACTGCACTAAAACAATCATGCCAGCCAACCTTGTAAGTTTCTTTTTTGGTAAGAACTACAGCAGATCGACCACCACTTAATGTTTCGAGTCAGTGGATGTATCACTGGGATGGAAACACACTTGTAGAGCACAGATCGCCACTTCTTAAACACAACGACTTATAAAGACCACTCACTAAAAACACATCCCCTGTGCCCGACCGAATTCAAAGGGAAGTCTTAAAAATAGACAATCTGAGGAGGCCTTTATGCTTTTAATCATTTTCTATCATTAGCCCATACATTTTCTGACTGATTCAGTTATTTCCTGTTCAAATTCAAACCACCCATCCAACCTCACAAAATAACTGGACTGCCTGGCCACGTTCTTCACTGCAGGGAAACACAACATAGTTGGCCAACCGACTGGCGACCATCTCATCAGCTACGTAGAGAGAACTAGCTCTGCCGAGTAAGACGTTAAACGATGGCTAAGGTGATTTCTTTTCTAATCTATGGAAGTGCCTCTGTATTCCCATTATGCAATTTGTCAAACATGAATTCAGGTTCTTTTTCTCACATATAAGCTATAGTGAATGGTGAAAAATTTATGTCAGGAGAGGAGAAAAAAAACGGTGACAGCTCACTTAGATAATCGCAAGCATCTTTATATATAATACACATATATATTTATAGATATATACATTTTTTTTATTTGCAAGATAAGCTCTGTGGCAGTCTAGTTATTTTTTGAAGCATGGCGTACATCGCACAGTCATAGGATGCATCTCAAATACCGCTGATTAGAGCTAAAGTACCAGTCTCTAAACCCACTCTCGTGTTAAATGACATAAAAGAAAATTCATGGAAAAAACACAACAATAGATACATAGACAGTGATGATAATGTAGTTGAGAATGGAAAAAAAAAGAACAGATTAGATTTTGTTGTTTTCTTTCTTGTTTTGATGGGAAGTATTGTTCTTGAAACTAAATGATGTATGTTGATTGAGCCATGTGCAATGCCTTGGTAGAGGAATTGTGTTTGTTTGTTAGCGATTGTTTGAGGGTGTCACGAGAAAAGAGGGAAAACCCTCTAAGTTTTTTTTTTGTTTTGTTTTTTTTGTTTATCAAGTCCACATGCTTTGGGACTCTAAATACAAGGGCAGCGATAAAAAAAATCCCAGTCTTTGTAAGTAAGTTCGGGGAAATTGTTTTTAATTTCCTTTAGTTTTTTTTGTTTTTGTTGCTTTTTTTTTCCTTTTATCACTTTTTTAAGAAAAACTTCATTTCTAATCATTTGTTTTCAGAATGTGGGAGGGCTGAAGGAACAATTTTGCAACTCATAAAATATATATCACTATGAAAACTGGTGCTTTCGTTAAGAATAAAGTACATTCAATCTCTATTATACATAAATAATAATAAACAAAATTAAGTGTTATCATAAAAGCAAATTTTAGGAAAACATGCATTATTCTATTTCTCTTTTTGTATTTACCGAGGGGGGAGGGGTTCATTGTATGAAAAGGTTGTCGTGACAAAAGGCATTTTTCCCCCCCAACCTTTACACCATAGCAGAGGAACAGTCGTATGGAAAAAAAAAAAACATCTTGTAAAATGCTTTTTCCAGACTGTATCATCTTGTATCCAACAAGACAAGATCTTCCCCAATTTGGGAGATGCACAAGTACGGATTCCCATTTCAAAGAAAGACCATGAATGATGTTTTTTTCAATTTGGTGTAAACGTCTACTTGGTTCAGCGAGAGGGAATTAGCGGCCTCTGTCTGCTCAGCTGGTCTGCTGTCATCAATTTGAGTGAACCCCACCCCCCTACTCCTCCCCCCGAATCCCCATCTCCCACTGTAAATGATTATAAATATTTGTTTGGTGATGTAGTGTTATAGACTCAGAGCATCTTAAAGGTTGTCCCTAAAAAGTGCCTTTTGTTCACAGATTCCATCTTGTAATCCTGAGTGCCCATCTCAAAAGAAAAAAAAAGTCCCCTCCTTCATACTTCTATATCTTTCTCTTCCTCTTCTTCGAGCTTTTTAAAGCAGTATACATAGTACTAAAGGAAATTGGTGTGATTTAGTTCCTCTTTTTATTGTTGAATAATTAAGAAAAGCATAAAAAAAGCCCAAAAAAAAGAAGATATTTTCTGTCTTGCTTCTCTTCCTCTGTATCTTGTCTTCTGTCTATCTTGGACACTGGAGTAGTCTGTAGCCGCGTAACCCTCTCCCTTCCTCCTCCCCTCCTCCCCTCCTTCCTTTTCTCCCTTTCTCTGAATGGCGGGGTTTCAAAAAAAAAAAAAAAAAAAAAAAGAATACGCAAAGATTTTTTTGTCTGAGCAGAATGCAGTTAGCTCACATGTTATTCTTGTCTGTACGCTTCACATTGTATTACCATACCCATCTTCTTCAGCTTCTCCATTCAACAGCTAATGTAAGTGAACAAGTTACACCACGGGGCTCTGGGCTGTGCCGAGGACAGGGGGCCGGGGGGGTCAGTCCCCTGGGAGAAGTCAAATCAATCCCGATGGAGGGAGAAGAGCACTCGCAGGGACTTTTGGTTTTGGGCTGAGTCGTGGGAGATGACCAGTAGGACTGCTAGTGTAGGCAGGTGTGTTTGTAATCCTTGTTTCTATCTATTTATTTTTTTATAATTGAATTTGGATTTGCTTTTTGATTCACTTTTTTTTTTTTTTTCATTGTTACTGCGTATCTTAGGCAGCGGGAAGATGCTGCATTGAGACCTTCAATTATGCACCTTGGTCAGTGTACTTCATCGGCCAACAGATCTTTGTTTTGAAATGTGAGAAACGAGCTGTTTCCCAACTACCATTTATAAATAGGGGATCAAAAAACGAGCCGTTTTCCTTTTTTAATTATTTTTTTAAATAAAAACGGAAAACAATAAAATTTACTGTCTTCCGGGTTTTTTTTTTTATAAAAACAGAAAACGAGAAAACAACCAGCAAAAACAGCTTGTTTCCAGGTTTTGATTTTCTCATTTCAAAATGAAAATCCGTTCCTCAAAGGACACTGACCCACCTTTCTAGTGGTTGAATGAGACCAGCTATTTAAAAAAAAAAAAAAAAAAAAAAAAACGGGAAAAAGATTTAACTGAAAAATGACTCGAAGCACCTTATAAGCGGACTGGTTCCACAGCACGGTGGCTGGAAGGCTCAGATTTAGCACAATCATAAGAGATGTTACACATTGCTTCACAATATTGATCCACCGCCATTCTAAATCGCAGTGTTCGATAAGACACGTTGACCAAAGTGATATGGTTCCAAAAGCTGTACAAAACTAGAAGACTTTGGTGACTGATAGAGAAAGCACCTTGAAATTCCACCAGCAAAATCTACTGATTACAGAGTTTTGTCCTGCAAAAACAATTATGTATATGCAACTTCCTATTTTTCTTCATCAACAAATGAAGCCAGCAGCAGTATTATCAATCAAGCCTTGACAAGTGAACGCGCCACAGTTGAGAAGCCATATCGGAGACGGACAGGTTGCAGGGAGCAGAGTGTGTATGTGTGTGTGTGCTTTGTTGAGGGAGGGTGTCTACGATGCCTGCCCCTGCGCCGTTCAAAGAACACAGTCGGACCCTGTGGCCCGAACCGTCCGCCGTTTTTTTCTTCTTCTTTCCTTTGTTTGTTTTTAACACGTTTTGTAGAATGCTGGGCCACATTTAGTCATGTGTAGACTGAGCCCCCTTGGCCAGCTTAACCCCTTGCCTCTGGCCTGTAACACCCTTCCTGTTAAGAGTGCTCCTCCTCCTCTTCCTCCTCCTCCTCCTCCCTCAGAGCAGCATCCCATCCTCGGACACATACCCCCCAGAGCCCATGGTGAAATGCATGTGTTAATTACAGTTTCTTTTCCATAATAATAATAAAAAACAGTTTGAAAAGAGCAACCCCTTTACTTGATTGAATAAAAGGATGTTCTTGACTGTATCCTGTCTTCCTCGGGTGTGATTATTGCTGTGTCATTTCAGTGGCGGACAAGCAGCTGTCTCTCAAACAGGCCCATGGTGCATTGGCAGTGGTGGAACAGGTACTCTGATTATTTACTTAGGTAAAAGTAGCAATACTACAATGGAAAAATACCCGAAGTAAAAGTATCTAAAATATTAAAAGTGAGAGTATTCATTGTGCAGAAAAATAGCCCTTGTGACTGATATATTTATTATATGTGACATTGTTGCTAATACTGATGCATCAGTGTGTAATGAGTTGTAGCTAGTTTTAAAGCTGCAGTAGGTCATTTTTATAAAAACAATTTTGTGACATATTTACTGAAACTTTCACTATATCCTGACAGTACTACATTAGTCAGATAATCTGTGAAAAAATCAGGTTCCTCTGGCTCCTCCTAGAGCTCCTAATGGCATCTGAAAGAATCCACCAGGCCTGAACGATTATAGTGTATGTCTTTGTTATATATGTGGAAACTTCCATTTTATGTAAGTCATGTTGTCCATCTTAAGTATTTCCTCCAGTAAAATGCGAATAACTGCAGTTATTTCTTAAGGAGTTTATCAGAAATATTCATGGGCAATGTTCAAACTCATAGATGCTTATTTTATATTTCTGCACTTTGAAGCAGTGCTTAATTTTAATCTTAGTCTGTATTCCTGGATTAAAGGTCCAGTGTTTAGGATTTAGTGGCACCTAGTTCCAAGCGCGTAGGAGAAACTACAGTGGTCAGGAAATTTGTGAAAGGTCCTATCTACAGTCAGTGTTTGGTTTGTCCATTCTGGGCTACTGTAGAAACACGGCGGTTCAACATGGCGAACTCCACCATGTTTCCACTGTAGTCCAGAATGGACAAACCAAACACTGGTGTTCAGTTAGTTGCAATCTACAACTTCACCACTAGAGGCCTCCAAACTGGACCTTTTAAAGGTGCATCAATTGTATTATTGAGAACAACGAGTAAAATGACTGAGTATTTGAAAGGGGTAAGAATGAATTCAGTGTGCAATTCCGTTTAGCTCTCTTTTAGCACACTGTTTAGCAAGTCTCTCCGCTCTCATCAAGTTGAAAGTTGTGTCAGTGACAGCTCTAATAAATCCACTGTACACTACCTGTTCACAACCAAACAGCAGACAAACACCGGTAGCAACTCGCTGGTGAACATAGTGGAGCGTTTAGCAGCTAAAGAGCCAGATATTTCCCTCAGAGACAAAACAAAGCTAAAAGGAGAGAGAATATTGGACTTATATTCATCAGGTAGCCACAAACAAAACTCCAAATGAATGCTAATGTTGCTCCATATCTGCTGGATGTGTAAATGAGCAACTGTTTGCTGACACATTTTCTACAACAACTTTATACGGTAATAATGGTGTATTTATAGCTTGAAAATAAATGTCCAGAGCTTTAAACTGGTAATCTGTGTAACTACAGGGGAAAAGAAGTATCCAAAGTATGACTTAATAAAAAATAAAAAAAAGAGACCCTTATTAAAACATAGCACATAGGCACACACTAGCTATATGGAACCAGTTACATGATGGGTTTTTTTTTTTTTTCATTATTTAGGTATTTTAATTTTATTATATAAATCCTTTCATTCGATCCATTTATTGATGGATTTTGGCTTTATGTGTGGAGTTGTCAGCAGTTGGTATGGGTTTCCTCTAACAGTTCAGATGTGCAGACAAGGTAAAGTGTAAACTCCAGCAGGTGTTAATATGTTACACCTGTGATGAACATAGGTGTTCCCTGCTTCTTAACCATTACATGCTGGAATAGCAAGGCTGGATTAACCCGCTGGAGGGCCCATGACCATGCATTCATTAATGTACCCCCTTCAAAATATTTGTTCAGCAAAGTGAACAGCACAAAAACATCTTTGGTCAATAAAACAAGAAAATAAATCCTGTATAAAGAGGTACAGTACAACATAACATTGTATCTGAAAAACGTTTAAATGATTCATTTCAGATGTTTAGAATCCGTCACTAAATTAATGGCAAACCAATTGTCATTATGCAATAACACTGAGATGGCATTGAAGTTGCATTGAACTGCGTATTCTTGAGAAGTTCAACTTTTGTGCATTTGTTGCACAACTTAATGAGAAACATGGGCTTGTGTGGGATCTTAGTCATTCATTCTCAGTGGCAGGGTGGCAGCTAAAGTGATATAGTAGTATATAGTATAATTATTTTAGAAATGATACATGACTGATATTTTTGGAATTAACCTTCAAAACAAATTCCTACGTACCCGTTGCAGTAATCCAAAATGAAAAACACTGCCCTAACCCACTATCTGGCCGCTCTTAACCTGGTGAGTATTTGATTTACACACTGTAAGATGCATGATAATGCTGCTAAAGAGGCCTAAAAGTCAAAGGAAAGACTGCTGACATGTAACACAGTACATTGATGCTGGAGGAATGTAATCAGTGAAAACTCCCTTCACACACACAAAATGAGACTGGAGACATTTTGCTTTTTCTTGTACAGTTATTGTCTGTTCATGGACTCACATTAAGCTGAGAACCTTGACAGTCAAAACAAGCAGCTGCCACACATCCTAGACTCAGCAGTGATCACAGTGAGCTTCACAATGCAGTAATCTGTAGTGGACAGTCAACCCATCTGCACATACAGATTCTCCTCATTGGCTGTTTTGTGTGTAGTTGAGGCTCAATATGTTTTAGATTTGTTTATTTATTGCCTTTATTCTTATTAAAGATTAGTGGTCCCACTTTAAAGAACATTTGTAAAAGAATATAAATGTGTTAAGACTCAGACCAACTGCAATGGCAGCACATGTAGATGCAGCAGTCAGTAGCTCCCTAAAACATCACTACATTTTTTTATTTGTTTTTTTTTTCACCTTTATTACTGAAGCCTTATTCATTTTATTATTTATATGTTTTTTGAAAGTAGTCTTAAGGTAACTATATCTATATTTCATTCTACAACTGTTGTGATTGTTACAACTACATTGTAAATTACAATAAAATAACCATGAATCCTTGAATATTTAAAGACCTGGTTCTTGATAACAATTAACTGTACATCATTAATAGTCACATTGTTTATTCGGTATAATGAATGGCTAATAATCAACTTTAAATATTATCATTTGAAATTAATGATTGACTGCTTTTTGTAACTACAAACAAAATACCTTTTTCACAGCAAAATGAATCTCGACATGTAATAGTAGGTAACACAGGTGCTACCAATGAAAAAAGATTTCATTCAGGTCACACAGAGTCAGGGTTTGCTCACTAACAAAACTCTGCTACACTCAATGGAACAAAACCTTAATTAGCATCATTGGTAACACCTGTATTAACCCTACTTCATGTTAAAATGGCTGCTGTGAAAATGGTCTATTTGAAGTTAAAAAACAGCAGCCAATCATTGATATACTTTTACATTATACAATAATTTACAGTTAATTATTGCCAAGAAGCAGGTCCCTAAATATGAGTCTTAACACATCTTATTGTTGCTTATTTTCAGTTGAGGCCAACTGGCAGCACTGGCAATATACTGCACGCAGCACATCGAGTGCCAGAAGAGTTAGACAACAGGGAAGTTCATTCACTGTCATTTTATTTTATTCAGACGTTAATCTAAACTTCATTAGAACTCAGATTAACTCAAATTGAATGGTTTAAATTTCCAACTACAGTTCTCCCAAGGTTGGGAAGATAAAGGTACAGTATGTTAACTCTTAGAGAAATGGATCTGGTTCTTTCCCTTAAGTTTTTGAATGTCTCAAAGCAACATTACAAGGCAAAAGAAAAATGCTTTTTTAGACATTTAGACACGTTAGTGACCATGTAACTGTATTAACTTGTTTATTCTTAAAGTTGCAGTAGGTAACTTTTATAAAACAAATCAGGTTCCTCTGGCTCCTCCTAGAGCTTCTTATGGCATTTGTAAGTATCCACTGGGCCTGCACAAAAACAACCAATCAGAGCAGAGAAAGATGGTTGATTGTTATGTCTCATTATCTTTGTCTTATCTTAATCAAATGAGACTCAACAATCAACTATCTTCAACCTACCAACCAAATCCCATTAGGAGCACTAGGAGGAGCCAGAGGAACCTGATTGTTTCACAGATTTCACAGATATAGTCAAAGTTTCAGTAAAGATGACAAAGTTATTTTTATAGAAAATGACCTACTGCTGGGTGCCCGGTTAGCTCAGTGGGTAGAGCTGGCGACCCATGAACTGAGGTTGAGTCCTTGCTGCAGCGGCCCAGGGTTCGAATCTGACCTGCGGCCCTTTGCTGTGTGTCATCCCCTCTCTCTGCCTCCGTCTGTCTTCAGCTGTCACTATAATAAAGGCAATAAAAGCCCCCAAAAAATACTTTCAAAAATAAATAAATTACCTACTGCAGCTTTAAGTATTTTTGGGACATGTTAAGAATCAACCAAAAGAGAACAAGTTGTTGCATGGTTGTAATGACTCGATCACAACACTGTTTAAACCCCATGCAGATGGTTTAGACCTCACCAAGCAGTAAACAAATGTACCCAGTGAGGGCATTTCTTTTTTTGGTTATGTAGTCGACATGTACAATGTGTGTGTCCTGGCAAACTAAAGAGACACAGTTAAGAATGTGTGCTGTCTTGTTAAAGAGGTCCTTTGGCTAACTGTATATGCTGATCAGTTGCAGATACTAACAGTTTATATAGACTGAATTTTACTCAACAAGACTGTAAAGTTAGTGGCTGCTTCTCCCTCCATCACTGTTTTTAAAACGTTTTCACAGCAGCCATTTGGACATGAAGCAGTAGGGTAAACACAGGTTTTACCAATGATACTAATTAAGGCTTCCATTCAGTCATACAGTCAGGGCTCTGCTACACTAAATGGAACCCTAATTAGTACCACTGGTAACCCGTGTTTACCCTACTATTTCATGTCTACTGTGAAAAAGGTCCATAAAAGATCCCTACAAATTATATAATCA